TCAATCTTGGAGAATAAAGTGGTCTATCATTCTACAAAAAAGAGGAAATATTATATTTATATCAATTCCTGATATATTTTCTTATAAACATTAAATTTACCTCATCTACAAGTGCTTCTTCAAGTTTAAGCATGTTATATGTGGTTTCTCCCTTAACTTTACCAAAGATTGTATGTTTATTCCGCAAATCAGGTGTAGAACTAAGAGTAAAGAAAAATTGAAAACCATTGTTATCTTTGCCAGCATTAGCCATAGCAATTAAATCTCGTCGACAAAAACGTAATCTTGTATGAAATTCGTCCTAAAACATATATATAATAATTATTTTCGAATAAAACAGGAATTCATTTCATTTTTGAATATAATCCCACTTTAAATGGTTCTCCATACATGTTACCACCTTTTCCTGTACCTGTGGGATCACCACCTTGTGTTATGAATCCTTTGATAATTGTATGAAATATAGTGTCATCCTAATAGTATGCCTTTGAAGTTTCTTTTGCCCATAATTCTAAATCAACATCACCAACAATTGTTTTATTGTAACCTAGTTGTAACAAATATATTAGCTTTATTAATGTAAAATACTTTTAAAAACAAATTTATTAAAATTTATTATTTATTATTGCAACTTAAATTAGAAATTATTTAATATATTAATATAGAAATTTAGAAAGTAAATATTGTATGTAGATTATATTTTTAAAAACAGATATACAATCCGTTGAAATATTATTAATTAATACTTACTTCACCTGTAGTGGGTGGTGCTTGTATACAAATATTACTCATGTTTGTAAGTCTCCTATAATAAAACAAATCATTCATCAATAATATTTCATATTAAATCTTTAGTCATTTATAAATCAGTCAACCAAATGGTTCCTTTCTCGAATAACCATCAGCAGGTAATACATACCTTTTATCTCCTTTTGACATTGGTTGTATTAGCCCAATTAAGTCTATGATGTGTCACAGCCCCATTATTCTTGCTGCTTTAATAATTTCCAAGTTCCTATAGATATTTCTACACATTGTGGCCTTAATGCAACATTTACTTTTTATATTTAATTTATCTCTATCTTTCATAACTTTAACCAATTGTTCATTCTCCATCTTCATATTCCCATGTCGATGCCACACATCTTTCTCTGTTGATATATATGCTACCTCTTTCCTGTTTCATGATGAAGCATAATTTGTATTTCCTCTTCTTACTTTCATTTGAACTTCTCCCCTTTCTTTATGGAGCTGAACACCATCATTCTGAAACTTAACACATTAACGATGATCATTGACTTTGACCACTGATATCAATATTTATTTAGATCAAGAAATCAATATATCTTTCAATCTCACTGTATACTCTATATCTTATTGTTAAAAGAGGACATCACCAAAATTAATTTCATCCTTTAATATCTGCCTGAAGCATCTCCCTTTTATGAATGTAAATTAAATCATCAAACATTTCTATCTTGTGTTTTATATGGTTAGCTGACCTAGAATTCAATAGACATATCACAGATTACATATTTGTATTACTGCTGCAACTTTTTCTAACTATAAAATATAATTATTGGCATCCAATGGCTCTGCGCTGGTGATATTCCATGAGTACAATATATTTCTCCTGTTGCATGTGAGTATCTGTTTCAACAGAATATTTTCTTGAACCTAATCTACGCTGTTATACCGAAAAAACCTAATCCAGAAGCCTAATTTCGAAAATATAAGCTAAGAAACTAAACTGCGCAGCACGATTTGAGAAACACTTGCACTATCGTCACTATGTTTTGAAAACGAACGTTCAAAACCGAAAAAAAATATCCGATCCCGTTAAGGAAGAGTTCCCCCTACGCGAATATATAGAACAAACCTAATCAAAAAGCCTAATTTCCGGAATAGAAGCGAAAAAAGTTTATTGCGCAGCACGATCTGACAGACACAGACACTCTAGGCACTATTTTTCGAAATCACACGCTCAAAACAGAAAAAAAATATGCAATCCCGTTAATTAAGAATTCACTCTATGTGGATATATGGAAAAAAACCGGAGCCAAAACCATAATTTCGGAAATAGTAGCCAAAAAGTCAATTGCGCAGCACGGTTTCACAGCCATAGACACATTCGGCTCTATTTTTTAAAAACGCACCCTCGAAACCGAAAGAAAGTAGCCAATCCCGTTAGAGGAAATTCCACTCTACACTGTTATATGAAACAAACCTAATCGAAAAGACTAATTTCGAAAATAGAAGCAAAAAAAAGTCAATTGTGCAGGGCGATTTCACAGCCACAGACACTTCCGTCACTATTTTTTGAAAATGCACGCTCGAAACTGAAAACATTTGTATTCCACATATGGTATATTGTGATGGAATAGATGTTAGCACTTAGATTGCTTGATCTTGCTGAAGTTCTCTCAATTTCTCAATCTTTTGCTATGGGCCACTTGTAAATATTCCGACAACGTTTGCAAAAATAACCTCCAATTGCAATAGAACGAATTAATAACTGATACCGCATATTATTGTTCGTTGAATATACATTGCCTCGACTGCAGTAATTGAAATATCTATCAGTGATAACACCACTTCCCGAAATGTTTCGTGTACACATCGAAAGTTTTACTTTCACGTGTATAAACATTCTGTCACGTTTCAGGTATGTTCGTTGTAGCAGCGACTGGAAGTTGGCTGCAGGTGGACAAGCATCGTTGTCGCGGGAAGATACTTCTTATTTGAAATAGTCTTATGTTAAAGTCTCGTTGTATAATATAATATCAAACGATGTTTCTTATATTTATTAATAACAATAATGCAAATATAAATATGTTTCTGTTACAAAAATGACTAATTAAAAAGTGCTTAATTTCTACTATAGATACGTTGTAAGTTAATAAAATTAATTATGAGATTAATAATAATTATATAATATATAATATTGTACAATATATGTTAGTTAAGAAATTTGATACATGAGCATTATGAGCACTTTTATTGAATATATTTCTAAAAAATTCTATGATTGCACGTTTATAAACATGTGGATGTACTCTTAAATTAATACTCGATAGTATAGAATTTTCCACGTAATAAGACGATGAAATTAGCTTCGTTTATCAGAGATTTATTTTTCGGAACTTACGAAAATGAATTTTATTAAGAAATGTTTAGAATTTTCAATAAACTCATCTAGAGTTGTGCAAACTTCACTTTATTTTACACATGCCGATTAAAATTCGAATAAAAGTTGGGAATATTATTTCAAGTTTGGCTTTTAAAAGCCAAATAACTAACTAAATACCATAATCGACAGTCGAAATATAGAATCTACAATCGATATTAGGTAGCCACGCAGTATTTTTATACTATTTGCATTCATAGGCAGGCGTGGTTAATAGCGAGGGCCCAACGTAGACGTCACGGCCCTGGCTCGTGGCTAGTTATCACCGATGTTTTCCTGTCTCAGTTATGTATTATTGTACATCGCGTTTGCACGAAGTGGCTTGAAATCTGTGTTTGTTGATTATGACCCGCGGTATAACTTAAATGGTAGGGTAAGGGTTTAATACAATTTAAGAATATATTTGTTAAAATTTTTTAATTTATTAAACTTGTGCGCATGACGAGTTTCTGCGCTTGCGCATTTCGTTGTATACCTACCGACTGCGCATGCGTTAAGCTTCGTCCATTTGCTCATGCGCACAAGTATCTTTACATCTGTATTCCCGCGCATTTTCGCGAGAGTGTAGTGAATAAATTTTGTAAATTGAAGAAAATCTCGAATTAATGTTAACCAGGAAATAACGTGCTGAGTCCAGAATGAGTCAAACATCCAGCGGGCTGTCAACCATAAGCTACGATACCAGGATAGAGCAATCTACTAATAGTGAGTCGTATAATTTATAATTCTTTCATTTTCATATTGTGTCGTGAGATATGAATAGTAAAACGAAGCAGTTGCTCAATTATCCTTCATCATTTTCGCAATAAGAATGATGATTATTGATTTTATCATACAATATATTTTATCATATGTATATCTATCGGGTAAAATATGCATATGTATTTCTATTGCGTATTTCGTAATTGGTGTGAATCTCCTGTACATTTCACGTGCGACAATATTGATGTGTATTGGATAAGTAATTCATGAATATTGAGTTACTTATTGTCTTCATTCTAATTGTTGTTTCACGCATATTTTTCTGATGAAATCACTGAATACTTGATAGATGCCGCAAGTCTTTGTTATTGGACTTGTTCACGACAAGGAAAGGACATTTGTCAAAGAGCTTCAGTAAACTACCACAGAGGGAAGCAACTGTTAATGTTTGTCCCATAGTTATACGTATTTGCTGCAAATGAACGCAAACGCGAACGTTAAAAAATTATAAATAATATACAATTTAAAAGTCTTCGTATTTAAAAATCTATAATTAGAATTTCGTATTGATCATTGATCATGATCGCATAATGACCATTTGTCTGTATTCAAATACACCATACAGTGAAACATCGATTATTCGACCGCAGATTATCCTAATACAGGAAGTGTGTATTCCATTAGAATGGATAGAACATGAGAAAAAAATAGATGCTGTACAAATATCTGTATTTAATTTACACGCAATTTCATTTGCTCAAAAATCATTTATAGTTGAAAAATCTCATTTTATTTTTTACTTAACATAATTCGAAATTTGCTTCTGTCGGTTTACCCGATTACCCGAACGGATTTGTTTTCCAATTAATTCGGATAATCGACGTTCTCCTGTATGTACTTTATAATATTGGCTTATGAATTTCGAGAGTTACTTATTCAAATTTATTCCGTTTCAAAGTTCTGTCTAAAAATTTTTCTTCCGAAACTCCGCAATCAATGGAGTAGCCTGTGTTCTGCTCCAGGCGATGACCAAGGTGAATAAATAGGCAAATTCGTTCAATAAAAATCGTACAATTTAATTGTAGGAAAATAAATACATCTTTTGCTTGCAACTAGTAGTCCGTATTATACAAAGGTACTTATTCTACGCGATAAAAATGTATTTTGCATCACATTCAGTCGACGTTTCTCGAATCGGGGCAACACGTTACGACGAATTGTTTTTCTTCGCATAGATAATAAAGCACGCTTGTGTACATATACTCGTGCATTAGAAATCGGTTGTAAATAAACCCGCACTCTGGCCGGTAACTATCGCAGAAAACTACCGGCGGAAAAAAACAAAAAATTTTGCGTCATAAATATTGAAGTATGCTAACAATCGTGTTTTATGTTTCCATATGTCTCGGGTGGGTTGCGCAAGACAGCGAAACAGCGAAAACTAGTTACCTCGAAAAAGTATTTACTATTGCAATCCGATACGATTTCAGTAATCAGTTCAACGATGATTTCTAATTACTTCTTTCAATATTCCAGTCGCATACGATGACTAGGAATCGCAAATAATGTCATTGATTCTATCCTACGATTATTTTCATCCGACCATATTCTACACTGAATCGTTAAAAATCGTTGAAAATCATTGAGAATCACAGAGAATCAGTGAGGATCACAGAGAATCACCGAAGATCACAGAGAATCACTGAGAATCACAGAGGATCACTGAGAATCACAGAGGATCACTGAGAATCACAGAGAATCACTGAGAATCATTGGCAATAATTGACAATCATTGGCAATCATTGAAAATCGTTGACAATCATTAAAATTATATGAAGTGAACGAATGCCCTGCGATTCGAAAATTATCGACCTGATCTGTCGGTTGCTCGCGATCGCTCAATCCTGAGATTAATCTATATTCGCGATGTCTCGCGACCAAACCACGCGAATCGCGAAAGAACGAAACGATCGAGAGATGATTCGATGCAACGACGTCACGAGCCAGAAAAGTTAATCCGTTTAATGGTTTGAGCAATAAGACCGTTGCGGTGGGATCGCAACGAAAATTCGTAACGTTCGTTGAAAATGGTTCGCGATTCGTTAGCTTCATCGACTTTGCTAACTCGCAAGCTTTCGCAAAAGACCACAGGAATTAGCGGAAAAAAATTTGGCAAATTAAAGTAACCTTAACTCGACAGCGGTTAGGATGCCGCCAGGTCTACTCGTGTTCTCCTTACTCTACTCGTACACTCGCCTGTACTTACATACATTCCCACGTAGAAGCATACATCTATACACGCGACACAAAACCACGCACAGAAAGCGTGAAAGTGTTCCTACTTTCATTCAAACGTATCCTGCGCGGAGGATAATAGGTGATACTTAGTTGGTGAACGCGGAATGTTTGGGAAAGGACCACTCCTGATCACCCTTCGTGACATACCCCTTTGTATAGTATGATTATCGAAAAATATGATCGACTATACTACGACGATGAGCTGAAACTTGTGCACGCGAATTCACGACACGACGATGGTTCGATGACTATGATTTCCGCGTAGATTCATTCCTGAAAGCCACGGTTGTCGATGAACACGCGGTTCCTAAGACCGCTATCCGAGATGTAACCAGTCGCCATTTTGTACTGGTTCGCGTACATCACGCCGTTCTTCGCTTCGCTCTGTTGCTTCTTCTCGTTCAGTCTCTCCATTTCCTTCTCTTTCCTCATGGTGGACATCTTTTTCTTGTTGTATGACTCGTTATAGAAACTACGGAACAGGAAGTAGAACATGACGGCGTGCAAGCCGATCAGCCAGACGAACGCCTTCGGGTAGTTGCATTCGATGAAGAAAAGTTGGAACGCGTGTATCATCACCAGCACGAACTGGATCATTTGCAGGGCTGTCAGGTACTTCTTCCACCAGAGGTACGGTTGCACCTTTGGGCCAAGCGCGGCCAGCAGGTAGTACGAGTACATCACGATATGCACGAACGTGTTGAGTAGGCCGAAAAACGTACTGTGACCGCCTGCAAATGAAAGTTGCTCTTGTTACGATTACCCAGAGTAATCGAGTTTCGAATTTCGACCATGTCGAGGAACTTTTACGTCATTAGGTTAGTCGGTATTACGTCCACGCTGAGTCGGGAGCTTCGCGGAGGGTCGAGGAGTGTCCGATCACCGGTACAGTTTTCCAGCGAGCATAGGAAGTATCGAATTAAAAGTGTTATGAAGATAGAGAGTGAAAGCGTATTATTCTTCCAATGGTGATTGATTTCGCGTTATCCATATCGGAGAAACAAAGGTCGTAGATACCTACGAGTGGGTTATTATGTCAGAGTGAGTTTTATCTGGACGGATTTCTAAACACTGTTTCGATCATTTGCAATCGTGCAGGTATTCTGCTTAAAAATTTTGCTCAGGTAGGTGCGTGATTTGAAGCTTCTCGTTACGTATTCCACACGCGCAGCTGTATCGAGGATAATCATTTCTTCGTTCGGAATGTGTCGCGATCGATTATCATGAATTAGCGAGATGTTTACACTAAGTGGAACTAGGTAATTAACTAGTTGTTTTTCGAAAGTTACACGACCGTTACACGCCTTTAAACGCAGACGATAGGAATAAAGGAGCGAGACGAAGTGGAAGGATACGTACCAGGAGTGAACTTGACACCGAGCCAGACGGATATTGGCATGATTCCGTGATGGATCACGTGCAGAGTCGAGATGTGATCGTTTTTCTTTCTCAGCACGAAGAAGATGGTGTCCAAGAACTCGGTGAATTTCGAAAAGTAGTACCACCAGCAACCGTGTACCATTCGAACTGCCAAAGGATTGTCCGAGTAATCTACCGGTTGGCAGCGAAACGAATAATGACCTGCCCATCCGGCAACCATGGACTGAAACGAACAACGAATAGTTCGAACGAGTTTCGATCGGCAAGTCTTTCTCTAAACATCGTGCGTTTCTCCACCAACTTGCACCTTACCTCGTGAAATAGCCACGTAGAGAATATCACTTGGACGAGATTATAGTATATCATGACCCTCCTTAGATCGAAAGGCTTGCGATTTTCCATGAGTTTAGGACCTAGAACCTTGACGAAGTAGGCGTAGGAGAGGCAGATAGCTAAGGTTGGGAACGGACTGCTCATCATGGCCCAATCCTTCACCCTGGGGTCGCTCTTGTTGTCCATCAGGTCCCGGTAGCCATCGTACACCATTGTCACAATCTGCGCCATCTGAAAATCGATACAAATATATCGTGTCATCTCACCGTAGTCTCGCAGTGCACGCGTCGATCATTTCATTGATAACAGAGTTACTCGTAGCGTTGCATCGATCACGTGGTTCAACTAACCGATTAGGAATAGGACGATATCTACACGGCTGCTAGCTTCAGGAATGCGTTCGCGATCCAAGCTTCGACGTCCGTCCAACGCGGTCGGCGGTTTGACGATCTATGGATCGACGTTGACGATGTGACGGAAGATTACAACTCGGTCTGTCCTTTCACTGAGATTTTCTCGAACGTACGCCCACGGGACAGAGACGCGAATGCTGTCAGAAGGGAGTGAGAAATTCCTCGTTGAAAATTCCCGCGGTTAGTTTGAAAACGCGATCGCCGAAATGACCGCGAGACGCATGCGCAATACCCGTTTATATTTGCCGGTCTGTCGATCTTGGACACGCGTGAACCAGTTAGACGTGACGAGTACGTGGTAATGCTTGTTGCGAAAAATCGTTTCTTAACCCATTTTACGACGAGTGCATTTCGTCAGGTGTTTTCTATGACAGGTAGTGTCATACCTGACGAATTGTTTCGAGAAGTGGCTAGATAGATAACTATGACGTGTAATTGTATTATATTAGGATAAAATTGTTATTAATATTGGCATTATATTCGAGTACTAAAAGTGCAGAATTTTTGAAGAAAGTACATAGTCGCGATTGTGTTATAGTAAAGATTGGTGAAGAAATTTCATGATTATTTATTCTTTCTGGTATGAATAAATAAATTTATAGTAAAGTGCATTCAATGTAAATAAGTATCGGTGTCTATTAATAACCAATTGAGCAAAGTATGAATAGGAAAATTAAATTTCGATGTTAATCATTTCCCTATGAAACTAGGAGGGATTTTATAGTCATAATTTTTCTTCCTTTACGAAGAAAATTCTTGCTTCGACCTGAAAAACATCTGACAAAATTTTCTTAGCGTTACAAGATCACTATAGTGATGTTCGAATATATTACTTCGGTGATAAATAAAATAGAATAAAATTTTATACATGTGGATATAGATTGTGTATATTGTTCGGCCATTGTTCCTTGCGAATAAATTGCAGTGCTGCATCATGCGTTGTTGAGACACGAACAGGTTTTATTATTATAACCGCCAATTATTCCAGGTATTTCAGAGCTACACACGTTATCTATGCGTTAAAAAGGCTGTACATGCATTTATCGCGCACGCGAATACGAATTTTCACATATTTCAAATTTTTCATGCGTTCCGTCATCTCTCGATTGGCTTCACGAGTTTACGGTACTATACCTGGGGTACTATAAAGATACATCGACATCTTTTAAATTTAAAATTAAGATAGACCTTGAAATGACCGAGATGAAATCGATGTTAATTCTCGTTTCTTCCGCGTTATAAAATTTAGCAATATCGAAATTTACTGCGTCCCAAACATTCCTCCATGATCCTGTTTTCGAGTCGATCTTTCCCCCGACAGAGGAATATGTTTCCGTTTTCCTAAAACAGTCACGTTAATTACGTATTTATGAATTCCTCGTATTTCACACGGGATGTTGGACTCAAAAGTTGCTTAAATGTCTGTATCTCATCGACCATGAAGCCAGTCGGAGATAATTAAACAAAAAAAAACAGATCGGTGATAATCCTCGAAGTTTTAGCACGCTGTTGAGACGAATTGTTAAAATTGAACCGGCAATGTCTATTCGAATAAACGATTTGCTTAGTTAGTGTCTTTTTAGATAATCGAGATCGATACGATAGGAATCGAGAAGATAACCAGGTTCGTTATCTCGATGGGTGAGGCGTGTAATAAAAATCATTAGGCTTCATCGTAACGTTATGTCAGCGAAAGTAACACTCGTCTTAATCCGACACAGGCGTCATTGGTTTCTCTAATGCCGTTAAACGACTTCAATTTCCCGACGGTTACATTCGTTTTCTTTCGAAGAATCTTGATCATTTATGTCGAACCTAGTCTAAACAAGAACGCTCTCTTCACTCGTTCCACGTGCATGCTCTCGACTTGCATGAATAAGTCGGTTCGCTCAAGAGCGAATGTCTGAAGAATATCTAGGGACTATCTAGGGAAAACGAGGAACCAAATAGATAATCGGGACCGAAGTCGCTCGAGCAATTGATCCATCGATTCCTCGACGTATCCTAATCGTCGATTTACCGAAGGTAAACGACCCTAGAAGCATATTCTCATCTGATCCAGTCTCCTGGCAGCTCTCAGGTCTCTCGACAATCGTTTCCTCCAAGTTCTTCTGGCGAAGTCTCTCGATCTACTTTCAGCGACAGTTCCTTGCGAAATTTAGGAAATTACGAGCAACTGGCAGGTTCCTCGAAGAGCCGTCTGTCGAAAAACGATACGAACGACACGCTCGTTCCAGCGTCAGTTTCGCAATCCGATCTGCAGCGGGACCGCTCGAACAGGGCTGGAGGGAGAAGTGACCTCACCAAACACTGCAACACCGACTCAGAGAACCCGTTTCCGCCTCGGAAAAATTCCGCCTATCGATCGAATCTACGCTTTGGCTATCGTTGTTTCGTTCCTTCTTCGGTAACCCTCAATTTTCGAACAGGGATTCTTCGATTCCCGATCTTTCTTCTTCGCTCACATCGCTGATCCTCTCGAAGGTTTATTACCCGTTCCACAAGACGAATTTGTTGGATTGCACGTTGATTCCTCTGAAACTCGTTTGCGTATCAGCACCCTGTCCCCTGTTCGTTCGATTTGCGTTATCCAATCTTTCCAAGATGCTGCGATTGGTAGCTCGAGTGTGCATACGAACGAAATACCTTCAGAATCGCGTGTGAGTGGCAATTCACCGAATTTACAGGAATTTTGGCCGAAGTATTGGAAGTATTCAAGAATTCAGTGAGCATTGTGGTCCCCTGTGATGATTTAGTCTCGATCAGAGATGATGGACGAATCTCGAGTCCGATTCGACCACACGGCTCGCAAATCGCCCATAAATTTGCAATATATCTAAATATCAGACGCACCGTTGGACGAAATGACGCAGCTACCGTTATTTATTCGAACTGTTCGCTTTAATATAAAGTCCATTCACGATCGTCATAAATAGCTAATGGTAGAATTTTTTCCGTTGCGTGTTTTATCACTGGGGAAAAAAACGAGATAAACGAAACCAGCGGATCGATTCATTATACGAATGGAGCATAGTTACCGATAGGTAATCAGGAGAAAAAGAAGCGTTGGGAGTGGAGTCGTAAACCGGAATGATCGTAAAGTGCCGATGGGTTCAAAGTTTAACGTGGAAGATCCACGAAGAAACGAGGTTCGCAGAAGCTCGTGAGCGATCGTTATCACCTCGCTTTTTCCAATCCTCCACTTCTTCTTTGCCTTTCCACTTTTCTTCTTTGCTTTTCCATTTTTTCTCGCTTAGCGCCTCTTCCGCCAGCTAACTATGCGGGTATCTACGTGTTCACGTGTATCAGCTGCACATGCCGATGCAGTGATACGTATGGGAGAAGGAGATAATGAAAACAGTCGAATTCAATGTCGCGGTAGCCGCTAATTTCAATGCACGTACGACTAATGCCACCGTACTCGCGGCAGGAAAAATACGAAGCTGCTTGACAAGAACAAGAGGAAATCCTGCTCAATAAATAACGGGCCGGTGTTCGATAATGCATAGGAAAGTGGCCGTATCGCGAAGCAAGGTTTTCCGTGGAATCACCACTCACGATCCGTCCTTTGTCCTCGTTTTTATTATCCTCTTTCCGAGAAACGCGTAACGCATGTTCGCATTTAAATCAGGCAGGATCAGCGACGGTGAGGAGTGTATCGAAGACGCGTTAGGAAACGAATTTGCAAATATAAAGGCCTGGAATGTGCAGATCCGTGAAGTCGCGTCGCGCGATGCAATTGGAATCACTGCGCTCCTGTTAAACGCCATTTGCTGCCTGGTCAGGTGCATCCTCGGGTTTTCATCTCGTCCAGGGAAGAAAGTGGCCAATGTCTTTGTCAGGTGGACAACGTTGCGACTCCCGATGTTGATTCCATGATCGGATATCGCGAGCTCTGATTTAAGCGTCGCGTTACCGCTGCCGATCGATCGATGGATCGCTGTGGGCGTACGCATACTTTGATCCGAGGTCGAGCCACCTCCGAGAAAACGTGTCCCCTTGTTTTCGTTGACCATCCCGCCAGAGAGGCGCGTGTCGTTTCAGGAAGACCGAAGTGTTAATAAGGAAAATTACGAAGCCTTGTTCGAGCATTAAACGTAGATGTAAGAAGCGTCGTAAGTAAACTTTGAACGAGTTCTATCGAACGACGGTGAAAATAGTCCTAGTTGCTTAGGCGAAGGTAGTGACACGTGTTCCCGCGAAGATAGAATACTCAACGAAGAGAAGTCGAAAGAAATTTTAGAAAGAGATTTCGATCGGCGAGTAGGTGTAGAAAATTGGATCGTGTAAATAAATGGTGACTTCCGTTAGGGAGTTTCATTACGCAATAATTGAATCGTATAGATCGCTGTTTAATCGCTGTTGCAGTGAAACACAAAGACCTAGTCCTTTTTCCTGTTTTTCGCTTGTTAAATTTTACTTGTATAGTCGATCGTCAGGACCTTGTTTATCGAGACTATTCATGACACACAGCCCAACAGAAATGTTGGACTACTTTCCGTTCAACGAATGGCACGACGATAAACGAATCCGAACAAACTTTCGAACAAGCTTTAGACAGTGAGCTCCAGTTTAAATTTGCAAACGATTCCAAGCGAGAAGCGTTAATTTCTTATGCAAACCTCTAAGTCTAGGCTGGCTCTCTTATGAAATGTCACAAATTACACGACTACACACGAACGCGTCAACTTTCACGTGAATGGTTGTCATTGATCTTTCCTATCGGTCACGGAGCAAATAGATGCCAAAACGGGCGAAATCGTTCAATGGTTACTTCAAAATCGAACTGTATCGTATCCTCAGTCACTTTCGTATCGAGCCAGCACGAGCGTCGATCAAAATCAAGTATCTGCGACACCTTGACAGATCCTTCCCCATTCCTGTCAATTGCTCCTAACAGTCAAACCTCACGAGACACACCGAATTGCGACCGAATTCTGACAGAATTCTGATCGAATTCTTGTACTCACCGTGGCTTACTAACGACGAAGTCCGATCTACCAGTGCGAAATCGAAGGATACCAATCTGATCGATCTTTAACGCTTCCCCTTCGCGAACTGATTTGGTGTGAAAATCGTAACAAACTCGACGTCGTGTGACAGGAACGTGCACTGTTGCAACGAAATCGGTGTTACTCTCTTCCACGTGCCGTAGAGAGGACCTTTGTGTTTGGTCACCTTCGAGGAAACTGAAGTTCCGCGATGAAAACCGTGTTTTATATTGGCATAAGCTCTTGACACCTGAACGCGCACGTTGCCCGCTGCTCGTGGGGTAGAACACCGACCCCACCAACTTCTGCCTGAGACGACGTTTCGCTTCTCTGCTGTCTATCGATGATTCTCGACTGTCCAAGGGTCGTGTACACAGGGTGTCCGTGTGCCGTGCATGCTATGTGTTCGAGACCACGGACCAACACGGCACTGGTTCACGAAAATTGTACAGTAGTCCACTAGCCTCTGAGGATCTATACCCAGACGCGATGTTTGCTTTCGCGTGACAGATTTCGAAAGACGTCAAGATCTCCGAGTCGACAAAGACATTTAGGTGTACATACCAGTTGGACCACGAGTCGTCGCTGATCTACGATAGATTTTCGTGCCTGTCATGCTTCTTGCTGCTTTTTTAATAGCGTACAGAGCGAGGATAGCTATGGTTCCTAGGATTCCGATCGAGTGCTCGATCAAGATTAGGCTCCAACAGAGATGACGTTAGGATGAAAGGTACTTTGGATGCTACCTACTACATCTAGATCATCTCAAACGTTGACACGTTGACTGCCACCTCAGGGGACCCCGATAAACTTTCTATTATTCTCAGGATACGATGACGAATTATCAAAAGATATGGCAAAAGAGAAAAGAAGAAATAGCGCAAATTGTTATTCTCTATTTATTTACGTTGTTCGAGAAGTATATAAATTTGAAAAATATATCGCCAGTCACTAGTGTCCACCATGGAACACCGTCACTGAGTAGACAAGCACCGGTCACTGGTAACTATCGTGTCAGCCAACGTGTTGAGGAAACTTAAGGGGAATACTTATATTTCTTTGAAATATTTCTACTCGTCGAATTGGGATTCCTTTGGCAGCTAAGTGATGGATGGTCGATGCGCAGTAAGGCTGGGATGAGACTCCAGTCGTGATAGGCTCAGCTCCGTATCTCGGTCCAGTGTTTTTTCATTTTTTCTACCTTGCATCCCACCACGATGTTTGAGCAAAGTCGATTACGCAACTCTCTCGCACAATGCGAGTGTTTTCAGGACGACGTTCTTCCTTGAATTTTCGGTATTTGTTGTTTGTGACGTAGCTTCTAATGCATATCGCACTGCAGCTGAATACATCGCAACCATGTCAACACTGAAATATTCATAGAAATTGATGTATTCGGTGATTATAACATTTATCACTTTATGTTAATGACAGTAGGCTATATTAATATAACCATAATACGTATATATTAACTACTGATTGGACGGTTAATAGCGAGACCTTTTGGCTCTGCTCTTATTTGAATTTTAATGTTGACAAGGATCACGATAGTAACGATAATTAACCGTTACAACAGTGATTAAAATCGCAGCCCAGACGATAATTAGTCGATGGTAAATATCGAAGACAAAATTGATCTTATTTAAAATTATCTTGGTCATTAAAGTCTCTCTTAAACGTCAAACTTGGGAATCGCCCAAGGCCGGATAACGGTGAAATATTAACGAAACGTCGAAAGTATTTTTTCAGGAGGCAATGACTTACATCATCGAATTCCGCGCTAAGTAGCGGAACTTTAGCACTAGTTCCACTGCTAAATACGCATGATCTTCGGGATGTTCGGTCTTCCTGGTATGCGAAACCTGCGAAATTTTCGCGATTCGATCGGTACACGGCATATAGAATTATAGAATAGCATAGTCAAATCGATTTAATACCATTCGAGTACCTCGCTTTGCACGCTTGTTTTTAATTCAAGACGCAAGTATCTTTGTTTCGCAACGAATTTGTTACGTTGCCACTTCTGCGTTATGGAAATACTGGAATACTCCGAACCAGTAGCATAAGCGCTGTATAGGATTATCTCGGAATAGATTTTTTTTCGCGATGTTTCCATTAATTTATCGAGTCTCGAGCTTCGATGTTTTATGCCATGTTTGACAACGTTACGAATAATTAAAGATAGATAATGTCCACGAGGAATTCAAATTTCGAAGGAAATTTGTAAATCAATAGGATGACAGATGTGTTTATAAAACGGATTAGACGACAATGTAGAAAAAGAATTGCAAATGAACTTAATGCGCGTTATATTTATCGAATAAAATGGCATCGACCTTAAGAATTTTATGTTTCACGTGGTTGGCGGGAATCGGTCACAATTTTGAGCGAAGCGTTACTCAAAATGTGCCATTTTGTATCATTATAGCATTACCTTTATTTATTGCTCCATTCACATCAGAAATATATAACTTATTAATCGAATGCGATAATACTTTTAGGTAAATAAACGTAACTGATCTATTACAAGTCTGCTAATGATTGTACGTTTTGTCCATTTCTCAGCTATTATTCATTACCATGAGCACGCACGAGGTTACATGCAGACTTAATCATTTCCACGCATAAAAATTAACAACTCTCATTAATTATAGCAGTTTTCATGTTTTCTTATTTTCTATTACGACACGTTACTCGTAACATCTAAAGGTTAGGAATCCGTCTCCAGATTTGCGATGGTGCATTCAGATTCAGTAGAATAGTGTCGTTTATTCTGTTCTTTCCGGACAATATTGCACGTTGTAAATCAAGTATCCCAGCACTTTGTGCATACATGTACATACGCGTCATGGATCAATTTGAATGATTAATCGAGCGCAAGATCCACGGTGGATAAGTACTAGGCGGAAGTATGTATCCAAGGTTCTAGAACTCGTTTAATAACGTAGAATATTTATCGTCTCTTTCCCATTCGTGTTTACCTACTGTCGAATATCTCTCTCGTGGCCAACAAAAAGGACCTTGCGTTTTGTTACACGTTCAGTGACCTCTCGCGGCGACGCCATGCCGGACGCCATGTTGGAAGCCGCGTGCGGATGCTGCCGAAGCCCAGAGGCTCTTACAACTGCGTTCACCGTTCTTGGATATTCTTTTTCAGAAACTTAGCCGACTCTTTTTTCACCTCTGCAACATTAACACCATGGCACGAACAACATAGCGAATTCTTATTGTATGTTAAAATGTACTTGACCCATTGCCTTAGGTCGATGAGTTTGTACTTTTACTTCCAAGAGATTATCATACACGAATTATCGTACGGTGAACGCGAACGACTCGAGTAAAAATGGTCTGCAAGGTGGACTACATTTAACCTTGAAGACCTTCCGCGCTCGTGCAGGTACAATGGCCTCTCCTACGTCAAAGAGGCAACCACATCTTTATACACGAATCTTTTTCTGTCCACTGTCATAATCCCAGGGTATTTTCGCTTTTGTCTCGCAACCGATAAATTACCCGTGAATGTGCCAATTATTTTCAACGCGGGGTCGTTCTATAACCTATAATATGCGAGTAAGGATTTCGAATAACGTTCTACACGCACTTGGAGCTTTTCGAATCTCTTTGACTATGAAAAATATTTGCAATTTGTTGATCCCTTTTCACTAAACATGGTAACAAAATGCTTCCGTACTGTTTATTCGATTTAAAATTAACAGGCGATATTTCCAGCTCCATCATGCGAGTTTATCGATGGAATTTCGCATCCTTTTCCTATACTTGATGCAAGGTCACGCAACGTATTTCTTTTTTCCCACTATTGTCAGGTTTCTAACAATTTCGCGGATTTTAGGTGCTACGAAAAACATTCCACAATGTGTATTCAGATATTGAACAAAAAGTCCATTTTTCTCGGAAATTTCGACTCTTCGACGTGTAAAACGATATGGAGATTCAGATTTGTTAAGTTAGCCTGGGAGTCTTCGTCTTTTTACACCGTGCAGGTGTTTTACCGTGCAACGCAGAGGTAGCGTGCAGCAACGACAGATCACACGCGAAATTATTCATTCCATTACCAGTCATGGTGCACGGCCATTGATAATTGGTATTCGATAAGCGTGCGAGCCACCCGCATCCACGGAACTCGCGATCGAGCGCCATTAGTTCTTTCTTCATATAATTTACCGACGTGTGCGACTCGATTTCCGAGGCTGGGTGGTCTCTCGGCGACGGGGAACAAACGTGAAGGCGTTCGGTTCTGCCAGTCGATTCAATTTTTTCTTTCCTGCATCTCCTGTCTCGAGTCGGCCAACTTCGAGTTCGGTTCATTCTCGTTCCTTTGAGAACGAACACGAAGGCGTTCGACATTTTCTTGCCTCCTGTTTCCACAGAAAACTCCGTGCTGATACGATTCCTCGCAATTCCATTCGGTCTCTTCTCGTTGGAACTTAAGTAATTCGCGCCGCCATATTGGACGCATCCGTGAGGCCGGACGGGGAACTGGAATCTCTGCATAATACACTAATGTGTAACACGTGAAGAAAAAGAGCAAAAAAAATGGAGAAAAAAGGTTACTACTTCGTGTTATTTATATAATTTCTCACGGTTACGTTGATTTGTTATGACGTTCTGTTTTTTTCTTTTTTTTCACGCTAAATGGCGAGAATTATATCAGAGTAACATGTTTTTCGACGAAAAAAGTAAGCAATTCAATGCAAAGTTATACAAATCGATTGCTTACGTCTTTTCCAGATTGAAAATGTCGAAGTTCGTTTTCTTTTGCTTCCTAATTAAGGAATTATTTAATTTGTTTTTCTTCGACTTCGAATTCACCTGTGGAATATTTCTCGGCATTTGGAATACCCGATTTCCTTGGTTTCCTCGTTTAAATCGAAAACCTGTTGCATCGGTTTAGTAAAAAGTATACATAAAGCAAGCTGCAACCGATATTTCCGTCGTTGAAACGAATTGTTGCATCGTTCGAGCAGCCATTGGCCATCTGTACCACCACGAATCGCTGTCCTTTAGCTGCACAGTCTCTAGCGTGGGATTGTAAGGACACAACGGTCAAACAGCGATTCGGGTAGCCAAAGCACTTCAGTTTTACGAGCAGCTCGACAGATCGTTTGCGCGAAAGACTTTGAAAAGTTAGCTGGGTTACACGAGACTGGCCACTAACGATCA